AGAGAGAGAGAGAGAGGAGGCCGCTGCGCAGCTCCTCCAGAGGTATTACGTAATGGGTCAGAGGAGTGCGCCGAGCCGCCGCTGGGGGAGCTGCTCCTCTCCCAGCTTTATTACAAAGACATGAAGGTAAAACTACAAGAAAATAAAAAATAAAGCTTTAAGCTTTTTTAAGCCAAACTCACCTGGTGGCGCTTGATCCATCTCGATGTAGAATAAGCCTTCAGGAGGATAAACCATTCCTGTTCCAGTCCGGGTCGCACTTCTTGTCTTTGTTTCTAATGTTTTAAGTCCTTTTATTATTATTATTATTATTTCTCAGCAGCAGATGAACCTAACTCAGGCTTGGCTGCAGTCCTGGGAAGACTGGGACAAACAAATAAAAAAGACAGAAACCCCTCCGAGTGCGGCATGCCAGAGTCCAGGTGTCTCTATGTCCGGTCCTGCTCCGCGGGCTGCCTGCTGCCTCCTGTCTCCTGTCTCCTGTCTCCTCCTCTCCGGGCTCGGCTGCTCCTTCTTCTCCTCCTCGTCTCGGAAGTGGGTCGACTTTAAAGAGCTGCTGCAACGTCGTCCAGGCTCAGCCCAACCTGCAGGACCAGGAGGGGGGTTCGGTCCACCTGGAGACGTCATTACCAGGTGAAACACACCTTCTCTAATAAATATGACACACTTATTTAGAAACATCTCRTACACACCATCAGATGATTTCATATATAAATTATTATCTTTGTGTTTTTGAGTATTTCAGCGGACTGGACCTCCCCCTCCTCTTGTTTGAGATGGTACAGTCCGGACGGTTTCATTCAGGTCCTCTCAGCTGAGCCCGAACAGCTGAATAAATCCTGACAGAGCATGAATGGAAACAGGAAAACTAGCTGGAATCATTTCACCTAAATGTTTGGGCTTGTATTTACAGACTAAAACACATTCTTACTGAAACAACATCATGCTGCGGGTTTGACCAGAACCAAAGGAAGATTTGGGTCATTTGAACATGAGCAGACTCTTTCACAAGTCTAAAATAAAATGACACTTTCTCATTATTTAGCTCACTTTTCTAGTGTAAAACCCTAGTTTAAAAAAATCCACTAACATTTTATTGTTATTTAACTCATTGTTTTCACATGTTGCTAATTATTATTGTTATTTCTTTTTTTTTTTTACAAACTTTTAAATATTATATACAAATATTAAATCCCACATCTAAATATGTAAATCTGAAAGTAAAAATTAAAATTTAGATGTTAAAATTTACGTTTAAGAATTTCGTAACGTAACACAGCCATCATCAACCTGAGACAAAACCAACTGCTAGCTCTGCTAACGCTGCTAAAGTTTTCCTACAGGACATAAAACGCYGGTGTCTGAGCTGCACTTCAATCTTTAAATTAACTTTATTATGTTTTGGTTGAATATATTCTGGGAATAAACGGAGCAGACCTTATAAGATTTATTCTTTTTCTGCTACCTTTATTGTGATTCGTTTCCCATCCAAGTCGCCTCAACTTTGCCATGTTTCTCCTCCTGCATACTTTGTCCTAGAGCTGCCATTGTAATTTATATCTGTAAAGCCCCTGTGCCAAATGATGGCTATGCCTTTTGGTGCCTGTAAAACTTATAGTTTTTGAAATATTAATATTTAATAAATTATAATGGCAGTCAATGGAGCCTTGTATTGGTCCAATACTGCCCCCTGCTGCCTCTACACAATATGATACTGCACCATAATTTTATAATATTTAACCTCAGTAGTTCAGTGATTACAATATTAATATGATTGTATTTTGATGTTTTACTGTAATACTGTCTTTATGTTGTCCTATTGCTGTAATACATTGCACTTCAGTGTCAATAATTGCATTGGCAAGGTAAACTTTTTCTGTATACAAACAATCCAATCTGTGGGGTTGTCCTCTGCCACATCTCATATAGTCTCATGATGAGCACTGTGGGCTTTCATGTGGGAGGTCAGGGTTCAAATCCAGTACTGCAACTTTAGCATCTCTTTAAATCTCTTCAAACTTCATATTGTCACACAATTACCTTAATTACAAACACCTGCTGACGTGACAGGCACAAGCTGGTRTAGAAAACACATTTGAACTTGGTCAAAGTTCACTCTGAAAGTCCAATGCTCCTGCCTACATTGTCCTACAGCTGCCATTGTAATTTCTATCTGTAAAGGTCCTGTGCCAAATGATTGCTATGCATTTTGGTACCTGTACAACTTGTAGTTTTTGAAATATTAATGTTTAAACTTTATTCCAAATTCATATAATGAGAGTCAATGGGGCCTTGTAATGGTCCAATACTGCCCCCAGCTGTACTCAACTTGGTACTGCACCATAGTTTTTTATATTTAATCTCAATAGTTCAGTGTTTACAATACTAATATGATTGTATTTTCATGTTTTACTATAATATTGTCTTAATACTGCTCTATTGTTGTCATATTATGCAGTTTAGTGTCAATAATTGTATTGGCAATGTGGCCTCTTTCTGCACACATACAAATCAACCCCTGGCACCACCTTCTGTCACAACTCCACTGGTCTAATGGTCTATGTCATGGACTTCCATGTGGGAGATCAGGGTTCAAAACCCTGCTAATGCAACTTTAACAAAAAAATCTCTTCCAACTTCATATTGTCACTCAGTTACCTTAATTACAAACACCTGCTGACGTGACAGGCACAAGCTGGTTTAGAAAACACATTTGAACTTGGTCACACTTCATTCTGCAAGTCCACTGCTGCAGGTAAAGCCATGCTACATGGCAATGCACGCTTGTTTTTACATAGTAAAAACCCATGTCTAGTTTTATTCTGATTTTTGGTTTGTGTATTTTCTTTGTTTTTGATTGTATATAGTTATTTTTTAATGAAATGAATAAAATTTTTGAAATGAATTGAAATCTGCCAGACCACAGGAACCATCCATATTGTTTTTAATGAACACATTTTGAATTCAAATTTTAAATGCCATCTTTAGCAGCATTAGATGCGCTAGCAGTGTTAGCCTCAGATGTCAACAACGGTCTCTCCACGCCAGCACGGTGCACGCCGTTGTCATCAGATTCACTGGTGATTCAGTTCCACTACTGACCGGGACACTCAACTGAACTAAGGAATGAATCGGTTAGTGAAGTGATTTGATTCAGTTTGTTCATTCATAAGATTCAAGAGACAGAACATTTAGGTATTTCTGAAATAAATGCTACAGCAGATTTTTTAGATTTGGTTGTAGTTGGGTTCAGACTGACCAGRCTAGGCTACTCAAAGAGCTATCTACAGCAGGTAAGATAATAATAGTTCATAATTTTTTTTTTCGCCAGTACATTCCTTTAGAGCGTCTCTCATTAGTGTTATCCCCGCCTCGAGGAGCACGAGGTCATTTGTTTCAGAAGTAGACGAGAAGATGGCAGCGCTCTGTTCCTGTCGGGCCAGTCCAACACGTTCAGCGTCCCGTCTGTCAGCGCTCCTGAYGAGCTCAGAAGAAACGGCAGCAGGTGTGTTCGCAGCCACAGGCCTCCGTCCACGATGCGCTGAAGCCGTCCATTATTTTACCACCAGAGCACATTTCCCTCTCGCTCTGACTTCACGTGCTAAAAATGGTCCCTTACTGTCTCGTTCGCCCCGAATGAATACATGCATTGTGGGGGTCGCCGCGTGACACAGAGTGACACTGTGCTGTAAATTTAAACAGCCGAGGCCTCTTCCTTCGGCTGACGTTAGCGGGGAGGGGAAGAAGGCCTGCTCGGTCAGAACTCCAGCGTTGTTGGTGTCCWGGCATTTGTGGTTAAATCCATTTTGACCCCGGACCCGAGAGTCACGGGAGGGTGCTGCCTCCGACATTCCTTTTTTATTTTTAATTTTATATTTTCACCATCAGTGTCCAGAAACTATAAACTAACTGGGTTAAATGTGTGTGGGCAACTTAAAGAGGAACAAACTGGGATTTTTATTGTTCTTAAAAATAAATGTGAACATAAAATGGAGTTTAGCGTTTATCACAAAGGTTAAAGAGTTTATTTTATATCAGAGGATCTATCCTTTAACAGGTTTGTGTGTGTGTGTGTGTGTGTGTGTGTGTGTGTGTGTGTGTGTGTGTGTGTG